GCTAGATCTATAGTTTGGAGCCTTGGTTTCGCTTAAAAGCTTCTGCATGAGAAAAGGACTAAAGGAACTCGACGAGTTATATAGTCAACTCGACGAGTTGGATGAGGGTTTCCAGCTTTCTGGATTCTGCATGAACTCGGCGAGTTAGTGAGATAACTCTGTTGGATTAGGTGTCTAAGCCCATAACTATAATTGGTATGTACTTGAATTGATAGCAGCACAGTCCTTTTGGGTTGCCCCTCAACTAGCAACTGGACAAGGAAAGTATGAAAGGAGAGATATTAATTTATAAGATTATAAATTAATATATATATATATAAATGATTTATAATATGTTTATTGGATTAATATATTATTAAAATCATTATGTTTTAATTAATTGTTAGCCAGAAATTAATCAGAATTGATTTTGGGGTTAAAAGAATTAATTATAAGGTGCAGGGACTAGTTTGCAATTATCTAATAGTTGAGTGGAAGGCTCTAGAACCACCTTGGAAGAGGGTGGACGAAATCTTTAGGGGAAACCCTAATAATTCGTCCATAGGGGCTTGGATAAGGCCCTTGGAGTTGCTTAGGCCCTAAGCAAAGGATAACTAGGTTTCCCTTAAACCCTAGATCCCTCACTATTAAGGAGCCTCCTGGTTCATGTTTTGGTCACTCTTTCTTTTGAAGAACCCTAAGGCCGAGATTTTGCATACTCCCTCTACCCTCTCTCCTTCACTTTCCTTCTTGCTAGTTTGGGTGTGATTCCATAGAGGCATTACACTGTGGTGCTAAAGCTTCCAAGAAGATCAAGATCAAGATCAAGAGGATTGTCAATTGTTTGCTATAACAATTGAAAGGTATGTAAACCCTAAACCCTAGTTTGTTAATTTCGAAATTAGCCTTCTCCTCTAGGGTTCTTGTTTTGCAATTCAAAGTTGTATGTTCAATAGTTAAAACATAGATCCAAAGTAGGTTGCATGTGAACTTAGGAATTGTTTTCTCGTTTATTTGTGACCTAAAAACCATCAGTGGTATCAGAGCCATTGTTGTTTTAAATTGAATTGCTACAATTGTGAATTGCAAATTAGGGTTTATAGCTATTAAAACCCTAAGGCCAATTTTTCGATTTCTAGGGTTTTGGTCAAGGGTTTTTTCGAAAACCCTAGCCTCCAAAGAAACCTAATCGAAATTAGGTTAGGGTTTTGAAAAACCCTAGCCTCCTCCCTTATGAATTTCGAATATGCTAAGAGGATAACTAGGGGTGCTTGTTTTTTGATAAATTGTTACTTACTTCGATTATTGGATAATTATCCTTACCCTAATTTTCGACTTAAGGTAAGGGGGAAAAACAAAGGGGAATAGATTAAATTATTGATTAATTTAATTAGATAATCTTACAGATTTACTAATTTGATTAATAGTTAATTAATAGATAAACCTTACATCTAGTTAATTGGTTTATTTAAATTTGAATTTAATAGCTTAAATTTCGAAATTTTATATAAACCCTTAAGTTTTAAAAAAGTTTTAAAACACACCTTATATATATATATAATTAAAGGTTTAATATTATATGTATAAAATATGGTCAGTCAAATCGCTATTATGCCTCATTCACGAAGCAATCTATAAGGGGGGTAAAGGAAACTGCCTATAAAATGGTAGTTGAATGGGTTTCCACTCTCACCCACCGCTTCCTTGATTAGTGGAGGTCGGTTAGCAGAACGGATTTGATAGGACACCTACTTCTCATAAAAGTATAATTGATATTAAAAGTACTAAACATTATTTTCCAAAATCCCAACTCTAGTTACTTTAGGACAAAAATGTGAAAAGTATGCTAATCCATGAAAATTGCACATTATGCTTTAATTGGTCGTTATTGGAGCGTGTGTGGTTAACCAGCACATAAAAGGCACTAATAAAGCGTAGTAATGGGTATCTCATAATTGTCATTTTGATGGAGCGTGTGTTGTTTTACCAGCACATCCATCTTAATGATAAGACAATGAGGTTACCAAGGCACATTGCATGGTTATTCACATCTTGTTTGTGATCCTCGGCATCCCAGTCACAAATAGAAGAGCATAATCTGAGATTAAAACATGCCATTGAATAGTTTCAATTGTATCTCAAAAGATTAGGAATTTCACTTCGTTTGTTTCGTCTAATGGTGGAATTGGTGAATCGTCATTCACCTACCTTTATGAAATTTGCACTTGGATCTCGGCATCCCATTTCTGAGTTGTGCATCTTCATAGTGGATCCTAACCTTGATATTATATCTTTGGTTATTCTATTAAGGTATCTCGAAATCTAACTAAAACTTTTTTTTTCAGATGTCTACTCCTGGGAAACCTTCTGCTTCGTCCTCAAACCAAACTTCTCTTTGCTCAATATCTGCTCCAAAGTCGTTATGGATGGCTCAAACTATAACGATTGGATGCGCAACAGCAAGATGGCTCTTCGTTTCGAGAACAAAGAATACGTTCTTGAAAAGGAGCTCAAGAGCTTGATGAGAATGAAGCTACTCCTGAAGATCTTGCTGCTACAAGAAACATTACGATGATGCTACCAAAGTTGCATGCATCATGGTGGCAACTATGTCCCCAGAACTTCAGAGGTACTATGAGGACTACTGGCTTTCGAGCTGAAAACAAGGACCTTATGGAAAAGTACCATAAGCGAGCTCCTCAAGAAAAGTTCGAAGTAGTCAAGTCACTCATGGCTTGCAAATGATGAAAGATGGGGAGTCGGTTGTGTCACATGTGCCAAAGAATGCAACGCTACATAGAGCGTTTGGTCAAGCTCAATATTCACTTGATGAGGAATTGGCCATTTCATGGTCTTGAACTCAACTTCCTGAATGTTATGGTCAGTTTATTCTAACTTACCATTTGAATAATACTGAGCATGACCTTGGCCTATTGCCACAACTTGTTGCAGACAACTGAGGCAGGGATGAAGGGTAAAAGTATACCCTCCACACCTCCGAGTGCCCCTGTTTTGGCTATTGGAACGGGAAAGGGGAAAAAGAGGAAAGGTCCTCCCAAGCAAAACTGGGAAGAGCAAGGCTCAAGCTGGGTCACCTAGTAATGGCCCAAAGGCTAAGCCCAATGGTTACTCCCCATGTTTCTGATCCAAAAGAGGCAGTTTGCTTTTACTGCAACCAAAAGGGGCATTGGAAGAGATCTTGCCCACAAATCTGCAAGATATCAAGGATGGCAAAGTGAAGCCATCTTCGGCAGGTATAGGTTGGTATTTACACTATTTCTGCTAATAACTCATTATCTTCTCGTTCATGGGTTCCTTGATACAGGAGGTGGTTTTCATATTGTTCTGATTTGCAGGGTCTAAAGGGAAGTGAGGAGATAGACGAGGAAGGATAAACCTGATCATGGGAAACAGAAAGTCTTCACCAGTAACCAAGATCGGAGTTTATCAGCTTCTGCTTAGTATGATGTTAGATTAGATTTCATAAATTGTTGCTATTCGTCTGAGATGACGAGAAACATTATTTCATTTGCTTTGTTCAGACAAGGTTTTACATATTCTTTTTATGATTTGAATGGTTCAATTTCTGTTTATAAGAATGGTGTTTTATTGTTTGAAGCTTTGCCTTGTAATGGTGTGTATGAAACAGTGACTTGTGTTGATAGCCTAGGAACTAGTGTACTTAATATCGACTTGTCTAATAGTGTAGACAAGGCATGCTTATGGCATTGTCGTCTTGACACATTAACAAGAAACGCATAGCCCAACTCCAAAAGGATGGAGTGTTGAAAATCATTTGACCTAAAGTCAGATGATATGTGTGAATCTTGTCTTTTGGGAAAGATGACAAAAATTACCATTCACAGGTCTTGTGAAAGAGGTGAAGGTCTGTTGGATCTCATACACACAGATGTGTGTGGGCCTTCAGATCAACTACAAGAGCTGCTAACCGATTCTATGTGACTTTCACTGACGATTATAGCAGATATGGATATATCTACTTGATCAGCATAAGTCAGAAACTTTTGAAAAGTTCAAAGAGTTTAAGCATGAAGTCGAAATCAATTGGGCAGAAAGATAAAGATCTTAGATCCGATAGAGGCGGGAGAGTATCTAGTATCGAGTTTAACGACTATCTGAAAGAATGTGGGATAGTCTCACAATTGACTCCTCCTAGGACACCACAGTTAAATGGTGTAGCTGAGAGCGCAATCGAACCTTGTTAGACATGGTTCGTTCTATGATGAGTCGGGCTTCGCTTCCTATTCACTTCTGGGGGTATGCCTTAGAGACAGCCGCCCACATCCTCAATCTTGTCCCTACAAAGAAGGTTGCCAAAACACCTCACGAAATGTGGACAGGGAAAGTTCCCTCGTTAGCACACATTAAAGTCTGGGGTTGTGAAGCTTTCGTAAGACGAGAGACTCACGACAAGCTAGCAGCTAGAAGTGAGAAATGTGTTTTCATTGGTTACCCAAAGCAGTCTTTTGGATATTTGTTCTACAGGCCTAGTGAGAACGTGGTCTTTGTAGCACGAAGATGAGTCTTTCTTGAAAGAGAGCTCATATTTCAAAGAGGACAGTGGGAGCGCTATTGACCTTGAAGAATTCAAGAGTCAGCCAATGAAGGAACCTTAGATGACACTAGCACTCAACCAGAGGAAACAGTTCCTGTTGAACCAATCGATAACTCATTACCTCTTAGAAGATCCACTAGGGTGAGTGTGCCACCTGAGTTATATGGTTTTCATATTACTTCAGATGGTGACACATTCATAAGTGACAGAACACTGGTAAACTTAGATGAACCAGTCACTTATAAGGAAGCAATGGCAGGCCCAGAGGCTTCCAAGTGGAAAGAGGCAATGGACAGCGAGATTAAGTCCATGTATGACAACCAAGTTTGGAATTTGGTTGATAGTGCACCAGGTCGCAAGACAGTTGGGTGCAAATGGATCTTCAAGAAGAAGACAGACATGGATGGAAATGTGCACACATTCAAGGCTCGACTGGTTGCAAAAGGTTTCACTCAAACCCAGGGGTTGACTATGATGAGACCTTCTCACCAGTAGCTAAGATTAAATCTATTAGGATATTGCTCGCCATAGCTGCCTTTCATGATTATGAAATCTGGCAAATGGATGTCAAAACTGCTTTCCTTAATGGGAAGTTGGCTGAGATGTTTACATGAGTCAGCCAGAGGGTTTTGTTGATGCAAAGTTTCCCCAATAGAGTGTGCAAGCTTGAGAAATCCATTTATGGATTGAAACAAGCATCTCGCAGTTGGAATCTTTGCTTCCATGAGAAAGTCAAAGAGTTTGGTTTCTCTAGAAGTGAAGATGAGTTTTGTGTGTATATCAAGGCTAGTGGGGAGTATAGTAACTTTATGGTGTTATATGTCGATGACATATTACTCATTGGTAACGATGTTCCAACCTTGAAAGAAGTTAAGTCTTGGCTTGGAAAGTGTTTTTCCATGAAAGACCTTGGAGAAGCTGCCTATATTCTTGGGATTAGAATATTGAGAGATAGAAAGAAGAGACTAATTGGACTTAGTCAGAGCACATACTTGGATAAGGTATTAAAGAGGGTTTAGTATGGAAAATTCCAAGAGAAGGAGAGCTACCTATCCCGAGCAATACCAAATTGAGTAAGACTCAATGCCCGAGTACAGATGTTGAAATAGATGACATGAGTCGTGTACCTTATGCTTCCGCTGTCGGATCGATCATGTACGCTATGACATGTACTCGCCCTGATGTGGCATTTGCTTGAGCATGGTCAGTCGCTATCAGGGAAACCCAGGGTAGAGCTCATTGGATAGCAGTTAAGAATATACTCAAGTATTTGCGAAGGACAAAGGACTGGGTTCTTGTGCTTGGTGGCAGTGATACTTTGAGAGTAGATGGTTACAGTGATGCCAGCTTTCAGACGGATAGAGATAACTTCCGTTCTCAGTCGGGCTGGGTATTTTTACTGAATGGAGGAGCAGTACTTGGAAGAGTTCCAAGCAAAATACGGTGGCTGATTCTACTTGTGAATCAGAGTACATTGCAGCAAGTGAAGCGTCGAAAGAAGCAGCTTGGTTGAGGAACTTCATCGGGATCTCGGAGTTGTTCCAACCATCCAGGAGCCTATGGAACTGTTCTGCGATAATGACGGAGCGGTTGCCTTGACAAAGGAACCGAGAGATCATGGTAAGACCAGACATTCGACAGGAAATACCATTTCATCAGACTAGAGTAGAAGAAGGCCCATCTTATAGTAAAGAGGGTGTCATCTGAAGATAACCCAACAGATCCTCTCACAAAGGGTCTGAGTAGGGCTAAGCATATTCAGCATGCTCGAAGCATAGGACTGAAAGATGATATTAGTTTTAGTAGTTAGATTAGTTATTGAAACTTGTAACAAAGTAAATGTAATTGACTTTTGGTGATTAAATAATAAAGTATTATTTATAAGTTTGGCTACTACCTTTTGTCAATTGTTTATTATTGTGTTTCATTTTTGCATGTTTACTTCCTGAATAATGAGATTATTCAAACTCCACAGTCGCTCGTACTCTTGGAAGTAAGTAGTGAATTAATACTGTCATGAATTGGATTGCAGATTGTCTAAGGATAGACATGGCAATAGAATTGCTGCAATGTTCATGAGTACTCAGAAATTGAGATTTGAGTATTGGATAAACCCTCGCTCAGAGTATCACTTCATGGAATTCATCACGAGTAATACTGAGACGATAATATCTTATAATCTTGAAACGAAGATATATGAGTTGTACTTTACAAAGTCGGTAATACATTGGTGATACGAAACCGCATCAGTAACTTGGTGTTATAAAACGTATTGTCATGTATAATTTGATGAGTAAAAGATACAAGCATATGAGTCAACGTTTATTCGTTCCTTTTGCCCTAACAGGAAAAAGCGATATCTGTGGGCCCCTCGATGATTTGGTGTTGACTTATGTGTTGGGCCCAGCCAGGACTAAATTGATGTGTTCAATTAGAAGTCCTACATCATCACAAATCAGGAATCAGGAAACATAGATTCTGGACAAGAGATTGATTACATTCCATGTCTTATGTCTAGGGATATCTAGCAGAACGAAGGATTATATGATCACTTATCTTAGGACACGTAACTGACTGGGTCAGAGTTCGGCAGCAGCTTTTGGAAGCTACAATTTGCTGGTCAAATTTAGAAGGCATACTAGCAATTATAGTTACAGACTTATCCAAGTGGGAGACTGTTGGATTAGGTGTCTAAGCCCATAACTATAATTGGTATGTACTTGAATTGATAGCAGCACAGTCCTTTTGGGTTGCCCTCAACCTAGCAACTGGACAAGGAAATTATGAAAGGAGAGATATTAATTTATAAGATTAATAAATTAATATATATATATAAATGATTTATTAATATGTTATTGGATTAATATATTAATTAGAAATCATTATGTTTAATTAATTGTTAGCCAGAAATTAATCAGAATTGATTTTGGGGTTAAAAGAATTAATTATAAGGTGCAGGGACTAGTTTGCAATTATCTAATAGTTGAGTGGAAGGCTCTAGAACCACCTTGGAAGAGGGTGGACGAAATCTTTAGGGGAAACCCTAATAATTTCGTCCATAGGGGCTTGGATAAGGCCCCTTGGATTTGCTTAGGCCCTAAGCAAAGGATAACTAGGGTTTCCCTTAAACCCTAGATCCCTCAGCTATATAAGGAGCCTCCTGGTTCATGTTTTTGGTCACTCTTTCTTTTGAAGAAACCCTAAGGCCGAGATTTTGCATACTCCCTCTCCCCTCTCTCTTCTACTTTCCTTCATGCTAGTTTGGGTGTGATTCCATTAGAGGCATTACACTTGTGGTGCTAAAGCTTCTAAGAAGATCAAGATCAAGATCAAGAGGATTGTCAATTGTTTGCTATAACAATTGAAAGGTATGTAAACCCTAAACCCTAGTTTGTTAATTTCGAAATTAGCCTCTCTCCTCTAGGGTTCTTGTTTTGCAATTCAAAGTTGTATGTTCAATAGTTAAAACATAGATCCAAAGTAGGTTGCATGTGAACTTAGGAATTGTTTTCTAGTTTATTTGTTGTACCTAAAACCCATCAAACTCGACGAGTTGATTAGGGTTTACCCGTCTTTTGGACACTGTATGAACTCGACGAGTTGACTCAAGTTTTCGGTCTCTGAGTTCTGAAGGAATTCGACGAGTTGTTAGATGCACTCGACGAGTTGGGTCAACAAGGAATGTTGGCCTTGATTGTTGATTGTTGACTTTGACCAAGGTTCACCCAGTTTGACTTTAAGGGTACTTTGGTAATTTAGGTTTTATAGAATTGGTTTTATGATGATTGTAGGTGTTTGAGTTTGGAGTTGCGCTTCGGGAGCTTGATTCGTTCAGTTCAGTTCTACATTGTGAGGTGAGTTCTTATCACTATATCAACAGGGTCTAAGGCACCAAGGTCGGCCCTTTATGATTTGTATCCTGGTTATAGGATGATGTTATGTTAGTGATCGGTTAGATCTGTATCCTGGTACATAGGATGATGCTATGATTAGTGATCTGTTAGATCTGTATGACTATCTATACATGCTAGCTAGCGTATGATATTTATGGGTTGATTTTGTGATTGGGGGTGGGTTGAGGCGGTCCTGCTTTGTGCTCTAGGCCAACATACCCAGGGCGGCTCGGATAGACTGCAGACCCGGTATGGCGTACTAGTCAAGCCGAAGGCCCGGAGAACGGTCCAGATAGGCTGAAGGCCCGAAAGGGCGGACCAGACATGCTGAAGGTTCTAAGAGTGGGCCAGATAGACTGAAGGCCTGGTGTGGGCGGTCCAGTCATACTGAAGACTCTTAGAGTGGACCAGGTAGACTGAAGGCCTGGTGCGGGCGAACCAGTCGTACTGTAGACTCTATATATGCATGTTGTTTGTTATGATATTGTTATGGTTTGTATGGAGTTGGTATTTTGGGGGAACTCACTAAGCTTCAGGCTTACAGTTGTTGATTTTGTTTCAGGTACTTCAGATGATCGTGGGAAGGCGAAGGCGTGATCATGCACCTCCTCACATTTTATGATTTTGATTTCTGGGATATTCTAACATAAAACTATTTTGAAAACACTTTGAAATAATTAATGGTTTTTAATTGGTTGAAAAAGTTTTAAATTGGCTTGAATTTTATCGATGTTACACAAATGGCTCTAGTTTCAGT